TCTTTCTTTCTTTCTTTCTTTCTTTCTTTCTTTCTTTCTTTCTTTCTCTCTTTCTCTCTTTCCTTCTTTGGTTTTTCAAGACAGGGTTTCAGCAGTATAGTCTGGGAACTATCAGGCTAGTCTCTAACTCAGAGATCTGCCTGCTTCTGCCTCTTGAGTGCAGGGATTAAAGGGGTGTGCCACCACCAAGCAGCTATGAAGCCTAAACACCTGGGTGCTAGGGTTGAGGAGATGGTTCAGCAGTTAAAGTGTGTACTGCAACCAACAGCACCTAAACCCGACTTCAGGGGATTTGATACCTTATTCTGGCTTAGGTGGTCACCCACATTCAGGTGGCATGCACTAAAACACATATACAATACACACTCACACACACCCACACATCTTTAAAAATACTTAGGTGTTACACATCTAATTCTCATTCAGTCTAGAAAAACGTGACAGTGTCATTGTTTGACCACTGATGTCACAAGTCCATACATTGACGTTGAAAGTTTCTCTGGGTAGTTTACTATGCTTTATAAAGATTTACTTTCTGTGCATGAGTGTTTTGCCAACATGTATAAATATGCACCATGCGCAGGCCTGGTGGCACAGAGGTTGAAAGAGGGCATGGGATGCTCCGGAATTGGAATTATGAATGGTTATAAACCACCATATGGGTGTGGAGAATCAAAACCAGGATCTGTGCAAGGGAAACAAGTGCTACAGACTATTGAGCCATCTCTCCAGACCTCTGGGTTTCTGTTTTCTATTTTCTAACACACACACACACACACATACACACACACGCATCATTTAATAGAGTGCTTCCATTTAGAGCTTTTGAATTGATGCCAAAGGAAAGCTTTAACTGTAAATTAAGTGCTTTGGTGTGAGCTGGCACACGACCTCGACCTTTTGAAGCGAAATGGAAGGTGGTGATGCCCTCAAAAGCTGAGAAGTGCCCATTCAGGAGCATGTGATGGATTAAAAAAATCTATTGTGCTCCGCTTTCTCTGCTGGGCATTGGGATCCAGAGATAAATTAGATTTGTTATCTGCCCTTGAGGACATTTGTTAGGGTAAAGCAGTGTAGAAACGTCTACAAAGTTGTACTGCTGCGGAAATTAATATACTACTTACCTTCTGTTCTCCACTGCAAAAGGTCTGGTGAGGCAACACGAAGTGCTGTGGACATGTGCCCTTCAAATGCTTGCACAACTTTCATAGAAACTATCCAAATGAAACTCACTAATGGTCTTCCAAAGAAATGAGGCTCACCTGGGCTTTCAGAGACTATGACTTACTTTCAGAACAAAAAATTCCAAGCGTGTGATGGACATTGTACAACCCCAGACAATAATTGTCTTTAACGTGCCTTTGTGCTACACTGACTTTATCTACAAATGTCCTATTGGAAGGACTCCTGGTTTACACAACGTGATTGACTTCTTTACAGAGTCGTTACGAAATATTAGTTGTTATACAGGCATACAAACACACTTGTAGCTCGTCAGCACATCATCTACTACTTTCCCCTAAGATACTGAATAATTTAAAAACCTTGGACATTTTTCTAAGAAGTACTGCTTTGCAACAGGAATGGAATTCTCATACCCACTTCTTAGTTCATTCCATCCAGAGCATGCAGTGAGCTTTTTTTTTTTTCTTTCTCATGTACAATGAAGACTGGGCAACTAATCACATTTATTGCTTTGTTGTTGTTTTGTTTCCCAGGGACACCGGAGTCAATATAATAGCTAAATAGTTAATCGCTTCATAGGTTCTTTTAAATTTGTTTTGTTTTGTTTTTCTATCTGGCTATTTGTTTTGAAATTGTTTCTTAATTATTTTTTTTTTAATTTAGATTATGGTCACTTGTAAAAATAATCTTATAAAATCAGAAGTGGAGTAAATAAAATACTGTCATTCATTCAC